TATAGTTCACTCAACAAAATTTCAGTAAAAAATGCGAAGCGACGCCGTTCATCTTTATCTATTTGGCGGCCGATTTTCAGTCCATCGCGCAACTGAAATGCATAAAAAAGATTAGTTCTTACGGCTTTAAAATATTATTTATGTTTTTTAAGTACAAAATGATAGAAAATAATTGTTTTGACATTATTTTGGCCGTGTTGCCATAGCGACTTAATTCGGTACTCCAACAGAGTATAATTAACGCTATAATTGTACTCCTCTCGACCAATCAGAGCCGAGTAATTTTGTTGAGTGTACTATAAGCTCTGAAATAGAAAAACATCATAATGTAAGTTAAGTAGGAATTATTGTGGTAATAGAACTTTATGTTGGGTTTATGGGGGGTTATGTTTTTAAGAGACAACGTTCTTGCAATTAGGTGTATCCATCAGTACTTATTTCATCGTAAATTAAATGTGAAAGTGTTTAAAAGAAAGCCTTTTTGGCTTCTGTTGGCACTGCTTGTCCCATACTCTTGATTTTATTTCTTACACATACGTAAAACGTACGGTAAAGACTGGATAAATACATCAAATAGATAAATAACTTAGTAAGTACGACAAATAGGAAAAACTACGAAACATTAAACTGCAAAACGATAAGAACTATTGAAACGAATAACTTACATTTGTGWACGAAGGGACGAAACTGCGAGCACCAACTAACTAAGTATTTACATAGAGGGCGTATATAAGGTGTACGAAAGCTCCTAAGGGACAAGACTAAATGACGAAACAATGACGAAAATACTTAGACTGAAAAGAGCGAAACAAAAGCTATAGAACACTTATAAACAAACCTAAGACAAAGAGAACTACACTAAAAACTCATTAAAGGCTTTTCAGATCTAACAGCTTCTTTGTTTTTCTTACATTACTTYATTTGTTGAAAATTATTTCAGGATTTAGTAAATAATAAATCCGCTCGGAATAAAGCACTTGCAAAACAGGTGTAGAATAGATAGCGATACAGAGCTTCATTTCTCTACTTCAAGGATATCATATCTTATACTTACAAGCTGTAGAGCTGGGGTAAATGAGCAATTCCAGCAGGAAACGATTTTAATGGATTGTAACTCAGAAATCTTAACACAGATAAACAAACATATACAACTATAAATAACATGAATATAACATTGCACTTATCATTGTCATCATTCCCATTCAGAGCACTGACGATCTCACAACCATCAGTACAAAATGGACAACAACAACAAAAAAAAAAAAAAAAAAAAAAAAAAAAAAAAAAAAAAAAAAAAA